CGCAGCCCCCCCCCAAAAAAAAAACCCCGGGGGGGGGGGGTCTCCTAAATTAAGGGTGGGGTGGATAAAAATTTTGGGGGGGGGTCCAACCCTGCTGCCCCCAGCCCGGCCCGGCCCGGCTGCGAGCAGAGGGGTCTCCCCCCCAAATCCCACCCCCCCAAAAAAATAAAAACCAACCAACCTGCTGAGCTGCCCTCGGGGTGGGGGGGCCCGGGGGGGGTCAGCGCTCCCCCCAGCCCCCCCCAGCCCGGCGTGGGGGGTGTTTTGGGGGCGGGGGGGGGTACCAAGGTCTTACCAGGATACAAACCCTTATACCAACCATACACTGAGGTGTGGAGGGGGGAGCACTAGGATCAGCTGCAAGCCAGCAGTGGCAAAAGCCATCTCAAAGGTGGCTGCAGTGACAACAAAACACAGGCGTTAATTGCGGCCCCGCGCTGGCCGGCCACCGACCCCCCCGCGCGGAGACGGCACCCCCGGAGCGAAGGGGGACACCCCCGGAATGGGGACACCCAGAGCGGGGACAGCCCCGGATGGGGACACCCCCGGAATGGGGACACCCCCGGATGGGGACACCCCTGGAATGGGGACACCCAGAGCGGGGACACCCAGAGCGGGGACACCCCCGGAGCCGGTGGGGACACCCCCGGAATGGGGACACCCCCGGATGGGGACACCCCTGGAATGGGGACACCCAGAGCGGGGACACCCAGAGCGGGGACACCCCCGGAGCCGGTGGGGACACCCCCGGAATGGGGACACCCCCGGATGGGGACACCCCTGGAATGGGGACACCCAGAGCGGGGACACCCAGAGCGGGGACACCCCCGGAGCCGGTGGGGACACCCCCGGAATGGGGACACCCCCGGATGGGGACACCCCTGGAATGGGGACACCCAGAGCGGGGACACCCAGAGCGGGGACACCCCCGGAGCCGGTGGGGACACCCCCGGAATGGGGACACCCCCGGAGCAGAGACAGCCCCGGAGCCGGTGGGGACACCCCCAAATAGGGACACCCAGAGTGGGGACACCCCTGGAGCCGATAGGGACACCCCCAGAGCGAATGGGGACACCCCTGGAATGGGGACACCCCCGGAGCGAATGGGGACACCCCCAAATGGGGACACCCCCAGATGGGGACACCCCCTGATGGGGACACCCCCAGAGACGATGGGGACACCCCCAAATGGGGACACCCCCGGAATGGGGACACCCCCAGATGGGGACACCCCCGGAATGGGGACACCCCCGGAATGGGGACACCCCAGAGACGATGGGGACACCCCCTGATGGGGACACCCCCACCCCCAGAGCGAATGGGGACAGCCCCAGATGGGGACACCCCCGGAATGGGGACACCCCCAAATGGGGACACCCCCAGAGCGGGGACACCCCCAGAGCGGGGACAGCCCCAGATGGGGACACCCCCAGAATGGTGACACCCCCGGAATGGGGACACCCCAGAGACGATGGGGACACCCCCAAATGGGGACACCCCTGGAATGGGGACACCCCAGAGATGATGGGGACACCCCCAAATAGGGACACCCCCGGAATGGGGACACCCCCGGAATGGGGACACCCCCAGAGCGGGGACACCCCCAGAGTGGGGACAGCCCCAGATGGGGACACCCCCGGAGCTGGCACTCCCGAAGTGGGGACAGCCAGAGCAGGGACACCCCCGGAACGAATGGGGACAACCCCGGAATGGGGACACCCAGAGTGGGGACACCCCCGGAGCCAAATGGGGACACCCCCAAATGGGGACAGCCCCGGAATGGGGATCCCCAGAACTGGGACACCCCCAGAGCCAAATGGGGACATCCCCGGAGCTGGCACTCCCAGAATGGGGACACCCCCAGAGTGGGGACACCCCCAGAGCTGACACCCCTGGAATGGGGACACCCAGATTGGGGACACCCCCGGAATGGCGAGACCCAGAACTGGGACACCCCCAGAGCCGGATGGGGACACCCCCAAATGGGGACAGTCCCAGAATGGGGACAGCCCCGGAGCAGGGACACCCCCAGAGCAGGGACACCCCCAGAGCAGGGACACCCCCAGAATGGGGACAGACTGCAATGGGGACAGCCCAGAATGGGGACAGCCCAGAACGGGGACACCTCAGAGCTGGCACCCCCAGAACCAGGACACCCCAGAGCTGGCACCCCTGGAATGGGGACAGCCCGGAATGGGGACACCCCAGAACCGGGACACCCCAGAACTGGGACACCCCAGAACCGGGACACCTTGGAACGGGGACACCCCGGAAGCCCCGCTCCGAGGGGCGCAGGGACACAGAGAGACAGAGAGAGAGCGGCGCCGGCACGACGCGCCCGCCGCACGATGGACTCGGCCAACTGCACGTTGGCCAACCTCAATGGAAGGTTGGCCAACTCAATGGAAGATTGGTCAACGTCAACGGGAGATTGGCCAACTCAACGGAAGGCTAGTCAAACTCAATGGAAAATTGGTCAACGTCAACGGAAGGTTGGCCAACTCAATGGATGGCTAGTCAACCTCAATGGAAGATTGACCAACGTCAAAAAAGATTGGTCAACGTCAACGGGAGATTGGCCAACTCAATGGAAGGCTGGCCAACCTCAATGGAAGATTGGTCAACGTCAACGGAAGGTTGGCCAACTCAATGGAAGATTGGTCAACGTCAACGGGAGATTGGCCAACTCAACGGAAGGCTAGTCAAACTCAATGGAAAATTGGTCAACGTCAACGGAAGGTTGGCCAACTCAATGGATGGCTAGTCAACCTCAATGGAAGATTGACCAACGTCAACTGAAGGCTGGCCAACCTCAATGGAAGGTTGGTCAATGTCAACTGAAGGCTGGACAACCTCAATGGAAGGTTGGTCAACGTCAACTGAAGGTTGGACGACCTCAATGGAAGATTGGTCAACGTCAACTGAAGGTGGGATGACCTCAATGGAAGGTTGACCAATATGAGCTCTACCCATAGGCTCGGCCAACCAGCCAGCTTGGACGCTTGACCAATGGGTGGTTGGCCAATGAAAGGCTGACCAATGGGAGGTCTACCCGTAGGCTCGGCCAACTTGGGCGCTTGGCCCATGGAAGGTTGACTGAGGTCTACCCATAGGCTCAGCCAACTTGGGTGGTTGGCCAATGGAAGGTTGACCAATGGGACAGCTGACCAATGGGAGCTCTATCCACAGGCTTGGCCAGCTAGACACTTGACCAATGGTGGTTGGCCAATGGAAGGTTGACCAATGGGACAGCTGACCAATGGGAGCTCCACCCACAGGCTTGGCCAGCTGGACACTTGACCAATGGAAGATTGACCAATGGAAGGTTGACCAACGGGACCGCTGACCAATGGGAGCTCTACCCATAGGCTTGGCCAGCTGGACACTTGACCAATGGGTGGTTGGCCAATGGAAGGTTGACCAATGGGAGCTTCACCCATAGGCTCAGACAGCTGGACACTTGACCAATGGGTGGTTGGCCAATGGAAGGTTGACCAATGGGTGCTTCACCCATAGGCTTGGCCAACTTGGACACTTGGCCAATGGGTGGTTGGCCAATGGAAGGTTGACCAATGGGAGCTCCACCCATAAGCTCAGACAGCTGGACACTTGACCAACAGGCGGCTGGCCAATGGCAGCCTTGACAAACAGAACGTTGGCCAACAGGTGATTGGCCAACTGGAGACTTGGCCAATGGTAGCTCTACCCACAGCCATGGCCAACTGAAGCCTTGGTCAGCGATACCCTTGGCCAATTGTGGTCTCGTTTCCCTGTATTTTGGCTAACCGAACTCTTGGCCAACAGTAGCCTTGGTTGCCTGCAGTTTGGTTACCTGGAGCCTTGGCCAACCAACCAGAGCCTTGTCCAACCATAGCCTTGGCCAACCAGAGCCTTGGCCAACCGGAGCCTTGGCCAACTGGAGCCTTGGTCAACCATAGCCTTGGCCAACTAGAGCCTTGGTCAACCATTGCCTTGGCCAATGGGAGACTTGGTCAACCATAGCCTTGGCCAACTGGAGCCTTGGTCAACCATAGCCTTGGCCAATGGGAGACTTGGTCAACGGTAGCCTTGGCCAACTGTAGCCTTGGTCAACCATTGCCTTGGTCAACCAACTGTAGCCTTGGTCAATGGGAGCCTTGGCCAACCACAACCTTTGCCAACCACAGCCTTGGCTGCCTGTAGTTTGGCTACCTGGAATCTTGGCCAATGGTGGCCTTGACTAATTGTAGACGGCCAACAGTGCCACTGGCCAACTGTAGCTTGGCTACCAGCAGCCTTGGTTGCCTCTAAGTAGCCCCCCGTAGCCTTGGCCAACCACCCCATTGGCCAGCCACGGCCTCGGCTGCCTGGAGCCGTGGCCACCGACTGTGGCTCTGCCTCTGCTTTGGCCACCACGGGCAGTCGTGGCCACCGACTGTGGCCCTGCTCGTACCTTGACTAGCCATAACCTCGGCCACCGCCTGTCCCTGTGCCTTGGCCACAGCCTCGGCCACCGCCTGCCGTGAGCAGTGACCGGTACTCTGGTCACCTGCAGCCCTGCTCACCTAGAGCCTGGCCACCTGCAGCCTCGTTAGCTGGGCCGTCGGTAGCCTTGGCTACCTAAAACTGGATCACCTGGAGCCCTGTCCACGTGGAGCCCTGATCACCTGCCAATGTGGCCACCTACACCTTGGCCACCTGTGCCCTTGACCACTGGCAGCCCTGTCCACCTCGAGTTTGGCCACCTGAGCTTTTTCCACTTGTGACCTTGACCACTGGTAGCCTTGGCCACCTGTATCTTGACCACCTGAACCCTTGGTCACCTCTATCTTGACCACCTGATCCCTTGGCCACCAGTAGCCTTGGCCACTTGTATCTTGACCACCTGATCCCTTGGCCACCAGTAGCCTTGGCCACCTGAACCTTTGACCACCTGAACCCTTGTCCACCTGTATCTTGACCACCAGTAGCTTTGGCCACCTGTATCTTGACCACTGGTAGTCTTGGCCACCTGAACCTTTGTCCACCTGTATCTTGACCCCCTGCACAGTAGCTTCGGCCACCGCTCAGTCGCTCGCACGCCCCGCCCCGGTACTTACCTGGCGCCCGGCCCGGGGTTTGGCCACCTGTACCTTGACCACCTGAACCTTTGGCTACCAGTAGCCTTGGCCACTTGTATCTCGACCACCTGAACCCTTGTCCACCTGTATCTTGACCACCAGTAGCTTTGGCCACCTGTATCTTGACCACTGGTAGTCTTGGCCACCTGAACCTTTGTCCACCTGTATCTTGACCACCTGCACAGTAGCTTTGGCCACCGCTCAGTCGCTCGCACGCCCCGCCCCGGTACTTACCTGGCGCCCGGCCCGGGGGGACCACGGGGCCCCCCAGGTGTGAGTGGGGGGTCAGACACGCGGAGTGGGGGGGCTGGGGGATTTTGGGGGGTCCCGGGGCGGGGTCTGGGGGTACTCACAGTGCATGTCCCGCTCGTGCTCGTACTCGATGAAGGCGTAGCCACGTGGCTTCCCCGAGCGCTTGTTGTACACCATGTAGATCTGCAGGTGAGGGACGGGTGGGGACAGGTGAGGGACAGGTGGGGGACCCCAAAAATAGGGGGGGACACACAGCTGTGACCCCCCTGGGGCAGCGGTCATGGGGACGTCTGGGGGGTCACAGAAATGTGGTTGCACTCCAGGTACGTCTCCAGGTGTCAGGGGACAGGTGTGACACCCCAAAATATGGATTTGGGGACAGGTGTGACACCCCAAAATATGGATTTGGGGACAGGTGTGACCCTCCCCGGACAGCACAGGGTGGTTGGGGGGCATTTTTTGGGTGACCCCCCCACTCACCCTCTTGATGGGGCCGTAAACCTCAAACTCTCGGCGCAGCTTCGACTCCGTCGTGTCGTAATTCTGGGAAGAAGTGAAGAAGGGTGACCCCAAAATTGGGGGGAGTTCCCAAGGACTGGGGGATCCCAAAGATTGGGGAAAACCCCAAAAATCTGGAGGAGACCCCAAAGATTGAAAGGAACCCCACAGATTAAGGGGGAGCTCCACAGAGCTCCAAAGATAAAGAAACCTCATGGATTTGGGGGAGAACCCAAAATTAAGGGCGACCCCATGGATTGGGGAACCCCAAAGATTGAGAAAAGACCCTCAAGGACCTGGGGAAACCCCAAAAATGGGCGGGAGTCCCCCCAAATTCGGGGGGGGACCCCATTTCCTCCCCCCAGCACTCACCACTCTGGCCACGAACAGGGTTTTGAAGGCATCTCCTTGAGCGTTAGGGTCGTTGTGGGGGTCCCCTGGGGGAAAAGAGGAAAAAGGGGGGGTCAGAGGAAAAGGGGGGACCCCCCCAGGCCCACGGGACCCCCCCCAGCCCCACGGGAGCCCCCCCAACTTACAGAGCTTGAGCTCGGACTCCACCTCCTGCTGCCTTCTCTCGATCTTCTCCCGCCGCTGTTTGGGGGAAAAAATGGGGAAAATGACCAAAAAATGGGGGTTGGGGTGACCTCAGGGAGTCCCCAACCCACAGCCCCCCAAAATCCAGAGGGGACCCCAAAAACCCCCAGCAGTGGAGGGGGAGCACAACCCAGGAGGATCCCCTAAAACCCAGGGGGATGAACCAAGTCCTGCATTGGGGACGAGCTGGAATTTAGGGGGCAACACCCCCTCGGTGCCAGTTTTGGGGACCCCCCCAGCGCCCCCAGCCTGGTGAGGAAGGGGCTGAGCCCCCTTTGGGGGGGGCTGCACCCAGTTTTGGGGGGGTTTGCCCCCCGTTTTGGGGGGGTTCAGGACGTACCTTGCGCTCCATGCGCTCCTCGCGCGTCTCGGCGCGCGTCGGCGGGGCCCACCCTGGACACCCCCAGACCCCCAAAATCCCCTCTGGACCCCTCTGGACAGCCCCAGACCCATTTCAGACCCCCAAAACCCCACCTAGAACCCCCCAAAAATCTTCCTGGGCCCCTCTCACCCCACACCAGCCACGCCCAGACCCCCAAAATCCCACCCTGGACACCCCCAGACCCCCAAAACCTTCCCGGACCCCCCCCACCCTGGTTGTGGTGCTTCTCGTGGGGTAACTTCTCCAGGGGGGGCAGGTACGGGATGGGGTCCCGGGGGGCAAAGAGGGCCAGAAGGTTGGGGGGCAGGAACTGCGTCATCTTGGGGGGCTCTGGGGGGGGCACAGGCTGGGTCAGGACCCCCCGAGATCACCCCAAACCCCCCCATCCGAAAATCCCAAAATTCTGCCCTCACTGCAGCCACTTCACCCCACAGCGGATCCCCCCCAGACCCAAAAACCCACCTGGGACCCCCCAAAATCCACCTGAGACCCCCCAAAACCTTCCTGGGACCCGTCAAAAACCCACCTGGAACCCAAAAACCCACCTGGGACCCCTCAAAAACCCACCTGGGACCCCCCAAAATCCACCTGAGACCCCCCAAAACCTTCCTGGGACCCGTCAAAAACCCACCTGGAACCCAAAAACCCACCTGGGACCGAGCGGCGGGGAGGGGCCGGTAACGGCCGAGGGGCGGGGCGGGGGCGGGGCCGAAAGCGAGGCGTTGCTAGGGGCGTGGCTTGGTTAGGCGTTGCTAGGGGCGTGGCCGGGTGAGGAGGCGTGGTCAGAGCGGAGCAATGACGTAGCCACGCCTCCCGCCGCCGCCATGGCAACGTGGGCGGGGCCTCGTTACCAGGCGAGCGGTTTCCATGGCAACGAGGGCATCCTCTGTGTCCCCCTCCCGCCATAGCAACGGGGGGGGGGGAACAGCCCGCCTCGTTGCCATGGCAACCAGGCTGGCTCCCCCCGGTAGCAACCGGGGTGGTTTCCATGGCAACCGGGGGGGGAGGGAAATAAAATAAAATAAAATTAGTAAAATAAAATGAAACAAAAAAAAGTAAAAGAGATAAAATAAAATTAGTTAAAATGAACAAGATAAAATAAAATAAAATAAAGTAATATAAAATAAAAAAATAAAATAAAATGAAATAGAATAAAGTAAAATAAAATAAATAATAAAATAAAATAAAATAAGATAAAATAAAATAAAATAATAAAATAACCCCCCAATATCCCCTCCCGTTGCCACGGCAACCGGCAGGCCACGCCCCCATCCCCTCCCTCACACCTCCCCACGTGACGCCCCGCCCCGTTGCCATGACAACCACGGTGACACCAACCCCTCCCCCAACCCGGGGGGTCCCCGCTCTGCTGCCGTGGGGGAGGGGCGACACCCCCTCCCCTCCCCCCCCCTCGAGGTTCCTCCAGCCTCGTAGACCCCAAATATTTTAGGGGTTCCTCAAATCTTCAGGATCCCATTGGGACCCCCAAGAATTTAGGGGTCCCCTCAACTTGGGTAAGGTCTTCTCGGACCCCCAAGAGTTAAAAAGTTCCTAAAAACCCCAAAACCTCTTGGTCTGCCCCCAACTCTGAAGAACCTTGAGGTTCCCCCAACACTGTAGACCCCCAAGATTTCAGGGTTCCTCAAATCTTTAGGAACCCAAATATTTTAGGGGTTCCCCAAATCTTCAGAATTTAGGGGTCTCCTCACCTTGTAAGGTCTTCTTGGAGCCCCAAGACTTAAAAAGCTCTTTAAAAACCCCAAAACCTCTTGTGTCCCCAACACTGAAGAACCTCAAGGTTCCTCCAACGTCATAGACCCCCAATATTTTAGGGGTCTCCCAAAACTTCAGAGTTCCCCCAAATCTTCAGGATCCCATTGGGACCCCCAAGAATTTAGGGGTCCCCTGAACTTGGGTAACGTCTTCTTGGACCCCCAAGAGTCCAAAAGCTCTTTAAAAACCCCAAAACCTCTCGTTCTGCCCCCAACTCTGCCGAGCCTCCCCGCCGGTGTCCCCCCGGGCCGCGGGGCGCCCGCTCCTCGCCCAGGCTGCCCTCTCTGTGTCGTTGTCACCTTACTCATCATCCTCATCCTCATCCTCATCATCTCTGGTGTTGTTGTCTCTCTACTCATCATCCTCATCGTCCTCACCATCTCTGGTGTCATTGTCACCATCCTCATCCTCATCATCCTCATCATCTTCAGTGTTACTGTCACCATCCTCTTCATCTTCAGTGTCATAGTCACCCTACTCATCATCCTCATCATCTTCATCATCCACATCATCTTCAGTGTCATCGTCACCCTACGCATCATCCTCGTCTTCTCTGTTGTCATTGTCACCATCCTCATCCTCATCATCCTCCTGATATTTGGTGTCATTGTCACCATCCTCATCATCCTCATCATCCTCTGTGTCATTGTTACCCTACTTGTCATCCTCATCATCTCTGGTGGTGTTGTCACCTTCCTCATCCTCATCATCCTTGTCATCTTTGGTGTCATTGTCACCATCCTCTTTATCTTCTGTGTCGTTGTCACCCTACTCATCATCATCATCATCTCTGGTGTTGTTGTCACCATCCTCATCCTCGTCATCCTCATCATTTTCAGTGCCATTGTCACTGTCATCATCCTCATCATCCTCATCGTCCTTGGCGTCATTGTCACCGTTCTCATCATCCTCATGGTCTTCAGTGTTGGCACCATCCTCGTCATCCTCATCATCTTTGGCGTCATCACCATCTCCATCCTCGTCATCCTCATCATCAGTGTCACTGTCATCATCCTCATCCTCATGATCCTCATGATCTTCGGTGCCATTGTCACCATCTTCATCTTCATCATCTTCATTGTCCTTTGGTGTCATTGTCACCACCGCTCCGGCCTGACCGACCCCTTCTTCCTGGTGGAGACCGTCTGCATCTGCTGGTTCTCGCTGGAGCTGCTGGTGCGCCTGGTGGCCAGCCCCAGCAAGGCGGCCTTCTTCCGCAGCGCCATGAACCTCATCGACCTGGCGGCCATCGCGCCCTACTTCATCGCGCTGGGCACGGAGCTGGCGCGGCAGCGCGGCATCGGCCAGCCCGCCATGTCGCTGGCCGTGCTGCGCGTCATCCGCCTGGTGCGCGTCTTCCGCGTCTTCAAGCTGTCGCGCCACTCCACCGGCCTGCAGATCCTGGGCCAGACGCTCAAGGCCAGCATGCGCGAGCTGGGCCTGCTCATCTTCTTCCTCCTCATCGGCGTCGTGCTCTTCTCCAGCGCCGTCTACTTCGCCGAGGCCGAGGACGCCGCCACGGCCTTCACGTCCATCCCGCAGGCCTTCTGGTGGGCGGTGGTCACCATGACCACGGTGGGCTACGGGGACATGGCGCCGGTGACGGTGGGCGGCAAGCTGGTGGGCTCGCTGTGCGCCATCGCCGGCGTGCTCACCATCTCGCTGCCCGTGCCCGTCATCGTCTCCAACTTCTCCTACTTCTACCGGCGCGAGCTGCGCGGCGAGGAGGCCGGCGCCGCCGCGCCGCCCGCGCTGAGGTTCCCATGGACTGGGATGCACTGGGATGCACTGGGAGTGCACCACAATGGACTGGCATGCACTGGGATGAACTGGGGTGCACTGGGAGTGCGCCTGGATGGATTGGAATGAACTGGAATGAACTGGGATGGAGTGAGAGTGCACTGGGATGCACTGGGAGTGCACCACAATGGACTGGGATGGACTGGGAGTGCACTGCAATGCACTAGGATGGACTGGGATGCACTGGGATGCACTGGGATGGACTGGAGTGCACTGGGATGGACTGGGAGTGCACCACAATGCACTGGGAGTGCACCACAAAGGACTGGGATGCACTGGGATGGACTGGGAGTGCACTGGGAGTGCGCCTGGATGGATTGGAATGCACTGGTAGTGCACTGGGAGTGCATCTGGATGGACTGGGGTGCACTGGGATGCACTGGGATGAACTGGGAGTGCACTGGGAGTGCACCACAATGAACTGGAATGAACTGGGATGCACTGGGAGTGCACCTGGATGGACTGGGATGAACTGGAATGAACTGGGAGTGCACTCGGAGTACACTGGGATGGACTGGGATGCATTGGGAGTGCACCTGGATGGACTGGAATGAACTGGAATGAACTGGGAGTGCACCTGAACGGCTTGGAGTGCACTGGGAGTGCACCTGGATGGACTGGGATGAACTGGGAGTGCACCACAATGGACTGGCATGCACTGGGATGAACTGGGGTGCACTGGGAGTGCGCCTGGATGGATTGGAATGAACTGGAATGAACTGGGATGGAGTGAGAGTGCACTGGGATGCACTGGGAGTGCACTGGGATGGACTGGGATGCACTGGGAGTGCACCTGCATGGATTGGAGTGAACTGGAATGGACTGGGGTGCACTGGGATGGACTGGGAGTGCACCACAATGGACTGGGATGCACTGGGAGTGCACCACAATGGACTGGGATGCACTGGGAGTGCACTGGGATGGACTGGGATGCACTGGGAGTGCACTGGGATGGACTGGAATGAACTGGGATGGACTGGAATGGACTGGGAGTGCACCAGAATGAACTGGGAGCACACCAAGATGGACTGGAGCGCACTGGGCTGGACTGGGAGTGCACCACAATGGACTGGCATGGACTGGGATGCACTGGGAATGCACCGGGATGAACTGGGATGGAGGAGCATGAACTGGGAGTGCACCAGGACAAACTGGGATGGACTGGGTTGAACTGGGATTGCACCAGAATGAACAGGAAACAATGAGGATGAACTGGGAGTGCACCAGTACAAACACTCACCTTCATCCTCACCATCCTCATCCTCGCCATCCTCACCACCTTCATCCTTCTCATCTTCATCCTCGCCATCCTCGCCATCCTCAGCCTTTTCTTCCTCCTCCTCCTCCTCCTCCTCCTCCTGTGGGCCCTTGCCATGGGGCCTGGGGGTCTGGGGGGTCCCCAACCCCTTTAACCCATTCTGGGGGTCTCCAACCCCATTGACCCATGGTGGGGGCTCAGTTGGGGGGTCTGGGGGGGTCTCCAACCCCCTTTAACCCATTTTGGGGGTCTCCAACCCGCATTAACCCCTCTGGGTGGTGGATCTTTGGTTCTGGGTGGTCTGCAACCCCTTTTAACCCCCTGGGTGGTGGGTCTGGGGGTCTGGGTGGTCTCAAACCCCATTATCCCATAATCCAACTCCCATTAACCCATTTTGAGTGGTCTCCAGCCCCCTTTAACTCCCTCTGGGTGGTGGATTTGGGGGTCTGGGTGGTGGGTCTGGGGGTCTGAGTGATGGATTTGGGGGTCTGGGTGGTCTCCAGCCCCATTAACTCCTCTGGCTGGTGGATTTGGGGGTCTGGAGGGTGGATCTGGGGGTCCGGGTGGTCTCCAGCCCCTGTTAACCCCTCTGGCTGGTGGATTTGGGGTTCTGGGTGGTCTCCAATCCGTTTTAACCCCTCTGGGTAATAGGTCTGGGGGTCTAGGTGATGGATTTGGGGTTCTGGCTGGTGGATCTGGGGGTCCGGGTGGTCTCCAGCCCCCATTAACCCCTCTGGCTGGTGGATCTGGGGTTCCGGGTGGTCTCCAGCCCCATTTAACCCCTCTGGGTGGTGGATTTGGGGTTCTGGGTGATGGATCTGGGGGTCCGGGTGGTCTCCAGCCCCCATTAACCCCTCTGGCTGGTGGGTCTGGGGGTCCGGGTGGTCTCCAGCCCTCATTAACCCCTCTGGGTGATGGATCTGGGGGTCCGGGTGGTCTCCAGCCCCATTTAACCCCTCTGGCCGCTCCCTTTGCATTTCCCCGCGCCGTTTTCGGGACCTCCCTCCCCCTTCCCCTCCCCCCCCGCCTCTCTCCTCTCTCCCCACAGCCCCCCTCGCTTGGGATGGACTGGGAGTGCACTGGGAGTGCACCGGGGTGGACTGGGAGTGCACTGCGATGCACTGGGATGGACTGGAGTGCACTGGGAGTGCATCACAATGGACTGGGATGGACTGGGAGTGCACTGGGATGGACTGGGATGCACTGGGAGTGCACCACAATGGACTGGAGTGCACTGGGAGTGCACCTGCATGGACTGGAATGGACTGGGATGCACTGGGATGCACTGGGAGTGCACCACAATGGACTGGGATGGACTGGGAGTGCACTGCAATGCACTAGGATGGACTGGGATGCACTGGGATGCACTGGGATGACTGGGAGTGCACTGGGATGGACTGGGAGTGCACTGGGAGTGCGCCTGGATGGATTGGAATGCACTGGTAGTGCACTGGGAGTGCATCTGGATGGACTGGGGTGCACTGGGATGCACTGGGATGAACTGGGAGTGCACTGGGAGTGCACCACAATGAACTGGAATGAACTGGGATGCACTGGGAGTGCACCTGGATGGACTGGGATGAACTGGAATGAACTGGGAGTGCACTCGGAGTACACTGGGATGGACTGGGATGCATTGGGAGTGCACCTGGATGGACTGGAATGAACTGGGAGTGCACTGGGATGGACTGGGAGTGCACTGGGAGTGCACCTGGATGGACTGGGAGCACACTGGGATGGACTGGAGTGCACCTGCATGGACTGGGGTGCACTGGGATGGACTGGGAGTGCACTGGAATGGATTGAGAGTGCACTGGGAGTGCACTGGGAGTGCACCTGGATGGACTGGAATGAACTGGAATGAACTGGGAGTGCACCTGAACGGCTTGGAGTGCACTGGGAGTGCACCTGGATGGACTGGGATGAACTGGAATGAACTGGGAGTGCACTCGGAGTACACTGGGATGGACTGGGATGCATTGGGAGTGCACCTGGATGGACTGGAATGAACTGGGATGCACTGGGATGCACTGGGAGTGCACCACAATGGACTGGGATGGGCTGGGAGTGCACTGCAATGCACTAGGATGGACTGGGATGCACTGGGATGCACTGGGA